AGAGCAGGTACAGCAATAGATCCGGGTGTAGTGCCGGATCAGTTCCTGGAGCCAGGGGGACCGATTCGCGCTTGCCAAGGGACCAATTGCTGGAAGCCTGCGCAGCCTGCGCTCCGGCCGGCAGAGGGCTTGCGACCCGTGGCAGGGTGACAGCCCGCCGGTGGGCGAGCCAAACTCTGGCGGAGGCAGCCCGCTCAGCCCCAGGCGCCCCTCGAACCGGAGGGTGGTCTGCCGCCGCTGCGCGGTCGGCGCGCCGAGCGCGGAAGGTTCGAGGTCGACTACTCGCCGCCTGGGTCGTTTGGGGCGCGCGGCTCCGTCGAGGACCGGGCGCGCCCCTTTCCCGGCGCGGCGTAGGTCCCACTCTGACGTATAGAGGGGAGGCACGGACAACGGCCCAATTCATCAATTCCACTCATCTTCTGGTGCCTAGCCCCGTGCAGCGGCGGTCCGGCAGGCTGCCCCCAAGGCCCCCTGGGCCGCTGCGGGTTTTGGAGTTATGCTTTGGCACAGCTTCGGCGATGGCGGCCCCTCTCTGGGGCTTGCATAGGCGGGGAGTCTCCCTCGCTGGTCTCCTCATTCCCTTTTTTCTTTTTCTTTTGAGCTGGGTGTGCCGCCGCGCGGCGCTCGCGCGGCGGCGGTGTGTGTGTGTGTGTGTGTGTGTGTGGTGGTGGTGGTGGGGGGGGGGAGGGGGGGGGGAAGGGCTCGGGGGCGCGCTGGCAGAGGCTTGGTCATCGGCTCGTCGGGGTTGGGGAAGGGGAGGGGGAATGGGCGGTCGGCGTCGGGGTAGCAGCACCAGGGCGTACGGGGTAGCCGTCACTCTCCTGCCTCGAAAGGGCGGGGCTGTCCCGGAAAGTGAGAGACGCCGGGCAGCGTGGCGCATTACTGAACCCTCCCATACGTGTTTGGGGTTCCTCCTTCGGGCTGTTCCATCTCCTCATCTCTTTCCCACCTAGGCGGGGCGGGGGTCGGGGGGCGGCGGGCGCGGGTGCGAGGTGCGGTGCGGTGCGTGCAATCGTGTGTTTGGCGTCATGTCGTGTGTGCCTTCGCTTGTTCCTATTAACAACGAAGTCTAGCTCAAAAAAAAAACGCTTCGCTGCGCGTCCAACCAACGCCTCGAGAGCCCAGTAGGCCATGCTCTGGCGGGCTCGCGAGCGGCGCGCACCGCGGTACAAGCCGGCGCGCGGCGGGCGCTGGGAGCCTGAGGGCCCAACTTCAGAATCGTGCTTTTTTGGGTTAGGGACGAGCGCGAAGGACCGATTGCGGTGAAGGACCGCAGGTTAGGGACCGATCGCCGCCGCTCACGCCAGCGGACGGTCTTCGTCAGTGATGTTAGCTACGCCACCGTCTACCTCGTGCGCAATGCGCTCGCCGGCATCGAGCGAGCAACGTGTTCGACCGAGCGGCTTGCTGTGCGGACGGCTTCTTGTGGCTCTCGTCGAGAGCGTTTTGCGGCCCGGCGGGTGGGAGAGCATGTGTCGTCTGATGTGTCACTGTGTACGTCATATCAGTCTTGATAACAAGTACGGTCGATCCGTCAAAGCGATACACTCGTCACGATCACGTTGGACGGCTTGCACAGAGCTCTGTGCCGGCACGCATCAGGAAGACCGCCGTACGGCAAGAAGAGCTCGATGGGGAGCGAGAACCGTCAGAGGTGCTCACGGAGGTTTCGGAAGTCCGCCATGATGCGGTCAGTTCCCCTCAGGTTTGACTGCGTAGGTCGCGGAACTCGTTGAGTACTCGCAGCCTTTCTGCGCCTCCGTCTGGGCATATCGGCTGCTCGGCAAGAGCAGTCTTTCCGGAAGATAGCGACGGTTTTCGAGAGCCACCCGCTTGGGAGCGATTAGCGCGTCACGGAGGACTTCATGTTACCCTTGAAGCTCCTCTGACGGTTCTCGCTCCCCATCGAGCTCTTCTTGCCGTACGGCTCGGTTCCTGTTGCTGGCACAGAGCTCCCGTGCCAGCCGTCCAACGTGATAGGAACGAGTGTATCGCTTCGACGGATCGACCGTGCTTATTATCAAGACTGATATGACGTACACAGTGACACATCAGACGACACATATTCTCCCACCCGCCGGGTCGCAAAACGCTCTCGACGAGAGCCACAAGAAGCCGCCGTCCGCACAGGAAGCCGCTCGTCGGACAGGCGTGCTCGCTTGATGTCGGCGAGCGCATTGCGCACGCTTTGAACGGTGGCGAAGCCCAAAACACCGACGGTGGCCGTCCGCCGGCGTATGCGGCGGCGATCGGTCCCTAACCTGTCGCCCGCGGTCCCCAACCCAAAAGTGGTCCTTCGCGCTTTGGTCTCTAACCAAAAAAGCACGATTCTGAAGTGGGGCCCTCAGGCGGTTCCGGACATCCCGATTACGAGCGCGGTGGACTTCATCTTGCCGGTCAACTGCCGGCGGTCGACAACTTGCCGTTCGAGCAGCGTCGGGTACCGCCGGCAACATGAACTCACCTGAAGCTGAGCCGTC